CTGCTGCTGGCCCTTTAAGAACCATCTGGGGACATACTGTGGAGTTACTGGGTGGCCACCATTTCCTGTATCAGAAGCACATGGTGAGAACAATGGATGGCGGCCATTTTAACTCACAGACACTGTTTGGACTTTTCAACACGGTGCCATCTCGCCAGTATTTGGTGCACAGAGACATCATGCAGTGGTTTTGGACTATACAGCAGGGGACACATTATACAGTAATTGTTTTTCATTTAGCCTGTATATGTTCTGCAGAATCTGCATTAAACTGTATTTTCCAAAGTACTGAATGGATCTGGGTGAATTTTGGATATGTGGTTCACCCAGATCCCCCGGTTCCAAGGATATACTTTTTATGGGGTTATTGCATGTTTTGGGGTCCCTGTGATGTATATTTTAGAAGTTATGAATGCTGTAAAAATTGTAATGTTTCTGGCCAGCAGATAATTGAGCTTTGTGTATTGTAGAAACTCAATTATCTAGCCTGGCCCAGAGGAGGAGTTTTTGTGTTGCATAAATTGTGAGTTCTGTGTGCCAGTAAATCAGTCTTGTTCCAGCATTAAGCCTTGGCTCATGTTTGGGGGAAGGGATACCTACACTCTGGGGATTGCTATAATCACTTACTCCCCAGAGGAAGCTCTTGCAATAGCTTGATATGTTCCTGTTCCTGCTCTCTGGGGAAAGAGAGGTTAACCCACTGGAAGCTGGATCCTGGCCTTGGGTCCAAGGTGGGTGGAAACAGCAGAGACCCTAGCGCAGTTGCATCGCTGGAAGTGGGGTCTGCAGTGCTGATGGTGTCGGTTGGAGTGCTTGAAGTCCTCAGCGAGCACTAGGAGCATCGATTGGCGGAGGTACTCAGTCGGAGTGCCAGCGTTCCGTCACAACAGATATTCACACCAGGGCAGGGAATCATTCTAATCTATGCTCGGGGAAATTTGCTCAAACATAGGTTAGAGGGATTTCCTGCTCTGGTGCGTAGACAAGCGCACCAGAGCAGGGAATCCCTTAATGCCTCACTTACCAACCAATCAACCAATTCGTTCTACGACCGGTCCGTAGGAATGAAACCCAGTCGGTAAGTGAGGAGTACCTGTGTATATATATATATATATATATATATATATCTATATATATATATATATATATATATAGATATATATATATATATATATACACAGTACTGTGTGAAAGTCTTAAATTTGTTGTTTTAGCAATTCTATAATAACCATAGATAATTATTTCTCACTCTCTTTATTAGAATACAACTAGAAAAGAAAAAAACAGAAAGCCCAGCAAGGACCTGGCTCAGCATCTAGCAGCTTCATCGGGATGCCAAGTTGACCATTCTACAATCTGAACAAGTTTGAATAGTAATAGTTTTTGCGGAAGAGTAGCAGCCAGGAAACTGGTAGAGGAACAGGGTGAAAAGGCTAAGATAAGCAAAGATTGGAATATATACCCTTCCACAAAGACCATTCTTAATCAAGCTTCTTTGAACTGTAGAATAGTAAACTTGAAATCCTGATGAAGCAGCCATAAGCTGAGCCAGGTTCTTGCTGGACTTCTTCCGGTCTCTCAAAGAAGAAACTCAGACACTTCTCATCAGATTTTAAAATTGTTCTTGTCCTTACGTCCTATTTTGTCCATGGCCTCTCTTGATTCTTCAAATTTCTTCATAACAGCTTGAATACCACATCTTGAGTATCCAGTGTGTTGATTTCCCTTAGGGAGTGGCCTTGCATACACACTGCATAGAAATTTCCTGTATTTTCTGGTTATATTCCAATAAAGAGACTGAGGAATAATAATATATGGTCATTATATCATTGGTAAAACAGCAAATCTAATGGTGGCCTAAGACATTTTCACAGTAAATATATTTTTTTTTTTATTAATTTGTATATATTGTTTTACTACTCTTCCTCTTATTCCCTTTATTGGCTAATTAGTAATATATACTCACTGTATGTACTTTACTATTTACCCTACATTTCACATATATATGTAATAAAAAGCTCACCCTATACGAATACAGGGAATATCACAATGATTGACTATGTGCAAGATTAAGAACCAGAAAGCTTTAAAATAATATATGTGATTTAGTAATAACAAATGCATTTTGTTTGAGTGATCAGTACACATATGTTATCAAAGACACACCAGTAAAATAAGGGGGAAAAGTTACCCTTTGTCCATACTGATCAAGTCTTCAAATTGGAGTTTTATGATGGCAGCTAAAAGTTCTCTACATGGTCTTCAATAAGACTTTTGAATGTGTCAGTGACAGCTGCAGCAATTCTTAACAATTAGTTAAGGTCAAGCACTGCAAATAGATGACATTCACTACATGTCATCAGAATAATGAGCAAAGAAAGCTACATTCTCCAGTTGCAACAATAGTTAAATGAATTAATTAAATTTTACGAAGAATTATTCTTTCTTCCTTTTCATTAGCTGAAAGGCACTGTCTGTTGGACAATCCAGAATTGCAAATCAATGTGAAACCAAGAATGCAAGTGAAAATTCTATTTTTTACTTAAACACTAAAAGCGTACGTTAGTGGACACTGTCTCTTTATACTTCAAAATATGTGTTATTGTGGACACGTAAGCTTATATGTTTTATTAAAGGCGATACAAATAAATCTATAAATCACATAAGAACTAATAATTGATTTTTGGTTAAGAATATAGTTCTTATATGCATAGGAAAACGTTTTTGGAGCTTACCAAAAACAAAAACTTGGCACTCTATATTTAAATATAATGTTATATGGTATTCACACAACATTATTGATAGTATGTGTTTAAACTATGTATAATGCTATAAATCTGTAAAGTGTTGTTGAGGATGTGCAAAACAACTGCAAATGGACCTGCCACATATAAATATTTGACATCAGCAATAATAATTTATATACTTTGAAAATGGCAGATATTTAAGATGACATTTTTTAGTCCTTATTTTTATCATAGGACTTGACAATAAAGGCAGAATTATAAACTGTTTTATATACCTTGTTGCTCACATTTCTAAAGAAAACAAGACAGAGGACACCAGGTATGAAAAAAGGAAGACATTTAAATGAAGTATTCCCTAGAGCTTGTTCTCTTCATGTATAGATAATAAGATAGAGAGTTCGGGAATAATTTCGGCTTGAGAGAATTATAGAATAAAAAATAAACATAGAAAAGGGCTGCAGTAGATCTTACAAGGATTCCCAAACCTTGTGATAATACAAAGATAAAAAACTGAAAGATAGATAAACCGCGCCTACAACCAGATAACCTTAAAGTGCAGTAATACAGTAAAAGTTACATATATATATATATATATATATATATATATATATATATATATGACTTGGTATTGCTTCTTTGTAGTATTAAATATCTCAAGAAAAAAACTAGAAAAAAAACGTAAAAAGACAAGTATAGTCTAATATGTCTTTAAAAATATAAAATATAAAATATAAAAAATTAACGAAGTAACATTCACACTTTTCACACTAGGGGCTCTGCTGCTTGCAGCATAGATGGTACAATCCCCATCTTGGGAAATACATTCTGCAGTGTTCTGCAGTTTATGATGTTTCTCCAAACAATAAAATATGTTGGAAACAAAAAAAAGCAAAAAATATCCAATGACACAGTATAAAGAACGATAATTGTGTAGAATAAAATGTAAGTATCCTCCTTACATGGTGTAGAGCATGAACCTGCTCTAGGAGTATACAGCGTTGGTGGTAAAATCCCCACCTGGGATATATGGAACCAGGAAGTGCAATGAGTAACAATACTGAAATCCAAAATAAATTAAAAATAGATTAAAGGTCCAACTTTATTACAATTTACAAAACGTCAATGGTAAAATCCTGATAGGTAAAAAAAAATCCACACTTTATGCGTTTCACCTAACAATTTCATCAGAAGTGTGTCGCTCTTATGCACAGTGTGATTTTATCTAGGATAGAATATCATTCATTAAGTTTATCAGGTGTTGATGTTAATTAGCTTCTATTAATTAATTTCAGGTTCAGGTAGTCACTTTAACATGACGTCATTTTAAACACTGTTTATTGGAGGAGGATAATATTTATTGGCATCACCATAAGGTATCACCATGTGTACGCCCACATCCAATCTAATCAGCAAGGGGTGAGGTGCGATCGTCACCCAGAAGTAATGTCACGCTCGCATCAGGACCTCCAATTGCTTTGTTTGGAGCTGTAATTTGGTTCACACATGCGCAAGTTGGTGGTAAGGGCTGGTGTCCTATTTGTGCACGTGCGGCTGCACAACCGCACATGCATTTGTGTAAGGGGTAATCTCCAATTTGTGCAGGCGACCATACGCATCAGTCAGTATGCATCAGTCAGTCTGAGTTACAGTAGTTCGCATATGTGCGGCAAGTCTTGGTTTTCACACATGGGTCTAAGAAGCATTACCAAGTCCAATCTCCACAAACATACACAGCAGAAGTGCAAAGACTGAATTATACAGTATGAGTTAAACGTTTTTTCATTGGTTTCTGGGTATTATTTTTATTGCGTATCTAGATACACTTTGAGGTTTGTTTTGGACCGACCTGCAATTCGTCTAAAGTGGAGCCATTTGGGACACTGAATTACTGAACTCGGAAGTGATATGTACCCGAATCACAAACTAATTATAAGCACAATGAAAGGGCAAGTATCAGAGTAATATAATATATGTATATATATAATATTATGTATATGTTTTGCGTGCTGACAAAGCTTTTCCACCTTTCGGCCATGCTAACCCTGCCTTGTGAGGTGCTGGCGGTGCCCCAGTTATGTTGGCGACCTCTGCCTCCTCCTGTGCCTTCGCCTTGTGCTTCCACTGAGCCCCCGGTGTCAGTTGGGAATGCCCTCAGCAGCGCATCTACCAGCATGAGCTTGTAGTAGCGCATCTTTCGAACACAGTCCCGTGAGGGAATTAAGGACGGCATGTTGTCCTTGTAACGGGGATCCAGCAGGGTGGCCACCCAGTAATCAGCACAAGTTAGAATGTGGGCAACTCGGCAGTTATTGCGCAGGTACTTTGGTGACTCTAGATAACCTCGGCTGATCGCACGTCCCCGTGACGGCGACGATGCATTTGGAGGTCTGCCCTATCAACTTTCGATGTTACTTTCTGCACCTACCATAGTGACCACGGGTAATGGGGAATCAGGGTTCGATTCCGGAGAGGGAGCCTGAGAAACGGCTACCATATCCAAGGAAGGCAGCAGGCGCGCAAATTACCCACTCCCGACGCGGGGAGGTAGTGACGATAAATAACAATACAGGACTCTTTCGAGGCCCTGTAATTGGAATGAGCACACTTTAAATCCTTTAACGAGGATCTATTGGAGGGCAAGTCTGGTGCAGAGCGACTAACCAGTGCGTGCTGCAGCTGAAACTACACTATCGTCTGCTGCTGCTCGCACAGTCTCTCCAGTATGTGCAAGGTGGAGTTACATCTTGTGGGCACGTCGCATATGAGGCGTGAGTGGGAAGGTCGAAGTTACGCTGCAGCGCAGACAGGCGAACAGCAGCATGGTGAGAACGACAAAAGCGCGCACAGCTGCTACAGTGAAACTGCGAATGGCTCATTAAATCAGTTATGGTTCCTTTGATCGCTCCATCTATTACTTGGATAACTGTGGTAATTCTAGAGCTAATACATGCCGATGAGCGCTAGGTGACGGCCGCTCCACTTTTGCACCCTGCTCCCTCTTATGCTGTGCTGGCGCCTCTGTGCGACCACCGCCTCTTCCTCCAAACTGCACATGTCATTCGCATGACCTTCATTCCATGTGGGGTCTAGGACCTCATCATTCTCCACATCATCTCCCACCCACTCCTCAACCCTGCCCTCCTTGTTGGTCTGCGAACTGTAGAAAGCCACAGCAGTTGGCACCTGTGTTTTTCCAGCATGTAAAGTCTGCAAAGGACATATGGAAATTGTTTTAGAATTGTATCCAGGCAACAGTTTTCCCTATAAACTGACCTCTCAGTTTGACTTGTGAGGGTATTGCCCCAGAATTACAATATTGTTTAAGTACCTCTTAGCTATTGATAACTGGTTTAAATATAGCAGCTTGCTATCTGGTAGTTTCTAGTGTAGAAAATATCAATCTGTTTTCTATCACTTAGATCTGTGTAACAAGTGTTGTAGGTGTGAAACAATATTACAAGTGACCGATGTAGTAAATTTGAATCAAAGTTCCATTTGCAAAAAAAAATTCACACCCATCTTCTGTGGGTTATTGCATTTTTAAGATGCAGACTTATTGTATCACACAAGCCATGCACAGGTAGATTGCCTGGCACGTTGTTTTGGTGTTTGGTTTTTAACTTTGTAGTTGTGTCTTTATACTAGATAGAAATGTATATTAATGATTCTGTATATGAAGCGATCACAATAACACTTATTTTTCACTTTTTTAAAAAGTCTTTAGACTTTCTTGAGAAGCGGTAACAAGCCAGTGTTGCACACATACACCAGATATGAAGTGCACACCCCAAATGTACTATTTAGAACCCAAATTTTTTTTTTTAAAACTGCGCTGTAACCACAGTATTTGACGGTTCTATTTGACGCTCAGATATAAAGTGCACCGCAGGCCACAAATGTACTATTTAGCACCAAATTTTTTTTAATTTTTAAAACTGCTATGTCTCAGCAGTATTTGATGGTTCTATTTGACTCTCAGATATGAAGTGCGCCGCAGGCCACAAATGTACTATTTAGCACAAAAAAATGCGAATTAGTCAAATTGCAATGTCACAGCAGTATTTGACGGTTCTATTTGATTCTCAGATATGAAGTGCAGGCCCCAAATGTAATATTTAGCACCTAAAAAATTTGAATTTTTAAAACTGCGCTGTAACAACATTATTTGACGGTTCTATTTGACTCTCAGATATGAAGTGCACACACCAAATATACTATTTAGCACCAAAGAAATGTGAATTAGTCAAACTGCAATGTCACAGCAGTATTTGACGGTTCTATTTGACTCTCAGATATGAAGTGCAGGCCCCAAATGTACTATTTAGCACCTAAAAAATTTGATTTTTAAAACTGCGCTGTAACCACAGTCAAACTGCAATGTTTGCGCTGCGCTGTAACCAGAGTATTTGACGGTTCTATTTGACTCTCAGAGATGAAGTGCACACACCACATGTACTATTTAGCACCAAATAAATGTGAATTAGTCAAGCTGCAATGTCACAGCAGTATTTGACGGTTCTATTTGACTCTCAGATATGAAGTGCAGGCCCCAAATGTACTATTTAGCACCTAAAAAATTTGATTTTTAAAACTGCGCTGTAACCACAGTCAAACTGCAATGTTTGCGCTGCGCTGTAACCAGAGTATTTGACGGTTCTATTTGACTCTCAGAGATGAAGTGCACACACCACATGTACTATTTAGCACCAAATAAATGTGAATTAGTCAAGCTGCAATGTCACAGCAGTATTTGACGGTTCTATTTGACTCTCAGATATGAAGTGCAGGCCCCAAATGTACTATTTAGCACCTAAAAAATCAGAATTTTTAAAACTGCGATGTAACCACAGTATTTGACGGTTCTATTTGACTCTCAGATATGAAGTGCACGCCCCAAATGTACTATTTAGCACCAAAGAAATGTGAATTAGTCACATTTCAACACCAGAATTCTTTCCTAATCTGTCCCTCACAGATGCAGCATCCTCTCCGTTCACTAATAAGAGCTTATGTGACGTTTGGCGCTACGTGACTCCAGCTTATATATAGAGGCTGGGTCACATGCTGCAATGGCCAATCACAGCCATGCTCACGAGTCAAATGCTTGTTGATTGGCTGCCCTGCAGCCTTTCAAAATGCGCCATAAAATCGCCGAACACCGAACTCCAACCCAAACATACTCTGAAATGTCCGTGTTTGGGTCCTGGGTCCAAAAAACGTAATGTTCGGTTCGAACCCGAACTTTACAGTTTAGGTTCGCTCAACTCTAAATTTGAATTAGAATAAAATTTAATACGAATTTGAATAGAAATTGAATAGAGTTTGAGTGCAGATTTATATAGAATTTAATATAAAATTTGATATAGAATTTGATATAGAATTAATATAGAGTAAGTTGGTAAATAAGTCAAACAAAGCTAATTTATTAATTTGATTGAATAACCCTTGATTTACTAGTAATATATCTCAAACCCAGCTTCATATACAATTGTGGAATACCACAAGAAAACACAGAATTGACTTCATAGTTGAAAATTGTGACAGATGAAAAGCCAATATTTGATGTGTGCTTAATAGAGTAGTACCCAGCAGCACCATCACATATTAAAGTAATCTGTAAATATAATCTGTAAAAAATAAAAATTGATTAATCAATAATTAAAAACAACCAAGTCTAAATTAGACTTAAATTAACAGATTGAGTTCATATTCCTGATTGAGTTCCTTTGGTACCAAGGTTTCAAGTTCCTTGATCCAATATGCTTCTCTAAATAATAATGTTTTTTGCCTATCCCCACATCTGAATTTTTCTTCCACATGCTCGATAATTTGAAATTTCAGTTGAGTTATATTGTGATGTGCCTCTGCAAAATGTGCTGAATTTGGCAATTCCAACATATTTGCTCTTATTCTTGACTTATGTTTTGAGAATGTTTCCTATATTTTCTTGGTCGTCTGACCTACATACATCAGCCTGCAAGAGCATTTCAAAATATAAACAACATATGTAGTGTTGCATGTGACAAATTGTCTGATCACATATTTATTTTCTCTATGAGGATGGAAAAACATCGATCCTTTGATCATTGAATTGCAACATACACAATTGTGGCATAGGAAGTTGCCATTTTTCTTAGAACTTAATTTGGAGGGGATTGATAGTTCAGCTTTAACCAATTTATCCTGTATAGATGGAGCTCATTTATGAACAAGCATATGTTTATTCTTAAATTCAATAATATTAGGATGACAATTTGAAAGTATATGCCAATGTATGTCTATGACTTTTTTCAAGTTAGTAGATAATGTGCCAAATCTAGAAATTAATTTAAGTCTATCATCTGTCTTGTTTTTTTTAGATAAGTTCCCTTTCTGTTCATCCATGTGTTTTATAAATTCAAATTGGGTCTGGAGAATGGGCAAAGGATATCCCCTCTCACAGAATCTCTTGGTCATTTGTTCAAGCTGTTGATCTACTTGTTCAGTTTGTGACACCAATCTCTTAACCCTCATAAATTGACTTCTTGATATAGATTTAAACATTGAGGCAGGATGAAAACTATCAAAGTGTAAAATAGTATTTCTATCCAGAGGTTTTCTGTAAATGCTTGTCTCTAATTTTCCAGTATTCTTGAAAATCAAAATATCAAGAAAAGGAATGGACTCCTGATCCATTTCCATAGTAAATTTAATAGTATCAGAGCAATTGTTGAGAAAATTAAAAAAATCTGTGAGGGGTTCCAATAGGCCACACCACAATGCCAGCATATCGTCAATATAGCGCCACCATTGTACGATGTATTTTTTATAGAGATCATTTTTGTATATTAAATTTTCTTCAAGTTTAGCCACATATATAACAGCATATGTGGGGGCCACACTGGAACCCATCAAAGTGCCCCTAGTTTGAATAAAAAATTAATCCCTTAAGGCAAAATAATTCTCAGTTTGAACAATTAGGATTTGGAGATTCATCACTTGTCTTTTTGATGCAACTATTAACTTTGGTTAGGACCGAGAATTATTTTGCCTATTACAAACCATCTCCAGAGAGTCTCTTCTACATCAGACCTGTGGAGCCAGACTGCAGCTTGAGCCCATCATCATCCTCTTGTCCTCATCTGGTGGTAAGCAGGCAATCCAATATATTATTAGTGGCACTAATCTCTAATTTACCTCACAGTAAAGGGCCACTATAGTCACCAGAAGCACTACAGCTTAATGTAATGGTTCTGGTGTCTATAGCCTGTGCCTACAGGCTTTTTAATGTAAACACACTGCCTTTTCAGATAAAAGATACTTTGTGCAGAACTGGCGTTGGCTCATATGGCAGAGCATATGAGTGGGGCATTGTGATGTCACGTAGTGGGCAGGACACATGGGGGGGCAACAAATTTTTGTTTGCCTAGGGCGGCAAAAATCCTTGCACCGGCCCTGGAATTATCCTCAAGGATTTCCAAACCAGGAAGCAACCACTACCTATCGACTAACCCGACACAACAAATAACCCCAGCCCGTAATTTAAAATGTCCCAACTCTAAAGGATTGGTCT